TTGGGCACACATGCACACGCGCCTGGCGTGAGTTTTAAGCCACCGGGTCCGGGACACGAACCGCGGTCGACTACGTGGGAATCCAGCGCCATAGCCATTACGCTAACTGCTGGTTCCCACTTTTTTTTTTTTTTAATGTAAGGTTTTTTGTTTGTTTGTTTGTTTGTTTGTTTTTAAGCCATAGGGCATGTGCACTCACTGGAGAGAGACACAGAGAGGGAAAGTGAGAAATCTCCCCCCAGGAAGATGGTCATACCACAGTCCCTTTTGCATTCTCTTGGGATTTTGGGCATACACGTACATGAGCCTGGCATGATTTTCACACTGCCAGGTCTCGGACTTGAATTGTGGTCGCGTGTGGGAGTCCAGCATCTTAACCACTGTGCCACCTGCTGACCCTGGTCTTAATAATTTTTGATGCTATGTAACATTTCATTGTATAGGCATACCATAATTTAATAAGTAATTCCCCTAATTTTGGGTATTTAAGACATTTTTATTGTTTGTTGCTGTAAAGGCCATTGCAGTGAACATTTTCATGGATGTAATTTTTTATTTAAAAGTATTTTCTTAAGAGGATCAGCAGATGGCGTAATGGTTATGTCGCTGGACTCCCACATACTTGACTGCAGTTGGAGTCCCTGACCCAACAGCTCAGAATTCAAACTGAGCATGTGAGCATGCATGCCCAAAATCCCAAGAGGACAATGGAGGAGAAGGGACTGCCATGTCGCTGCATGGCCACCCCCCTGGGGGAGTGATTGATTTTTTTTTTTTTCTGTCTCTTCGGGGAGCTCATAGCAAAAATCTCTCTTAAAAATAAAAAGATCTTTGGGATCGACAGGTGGCGTGGTTAAGGATATGCTGAACTCCCACATGGCTGGCTATGGTTCAAGTCCTGGACCTAGTGACTAGCTTTCTTGCTTTCCCCTTCTCTCTGTCTGTCTGTCTGTCTGTCTCTCTCTCTCTCTCTCGCTTGCTCTGTCCCTCTCTGGTAAAATTTAAATAAATAAAGTTAAATAAAATAATTCTTTTTAAAGATCTTTCATTAGGAAAAATTTCTAGGAAGCAGCATTTCTGAGTTCGAGAATATGAACACCTTGATAGCTATTATCCTCTTTTAAACAACTTTTGGATACAGAATTTAATAATTGTTTTGATATTTTCAGTATTGGTGGAATACGGTATAAAATGTATTAGGAAATTTTTTGTTGATATGAAAGTTTCCTATATACCCCTCATCTAAAATATGACAAGCCTTTGTCATATTTCCTTCATCTGAGAAATACAATTTTCTCTACCTTAAAGGGATCGTATAATGCTAGCAATACTTTCAGGTATTGAAAGTATTCATGAAAAAGTCCTTTTCTGTATTTTCAATTAAATTTTGATTAGAGAGTTGTGTTATGGGTACTAGATTTAGGATTGACTTTCCCCTTTTAATTCATTTACTGGAGAACAAATCTTAAATGAAGAAAGCAGTGCTTAGTTTATTGATCTTTTTAGTTAGAAAAAAAATATTTTGAAATAATTTTTTATTTCATTTAAATTTGACCAGAGAGAGAAAGCAAGAAAACAAACCACCAGGTCTGGGACTCAAACCATGATTGATCATGTGGGAGACCAGCACCTTTAACTACCATGCCACCTGCTGTCCCCAGTTAGAAAATTTTATGTTTTGCTGTAGGATATGTGTACTTGCCAGAGAAAGATAAAGTGAGAAGTCACCCCCAAGGGCAAGTGGCTACTCTGCGGTCCCTTCTCCATTCTCCTCTTGGGATTTTGGGCATACATGCACGTATTTCTTTCCTTTTTTTTTAGTAGAGTTTTTTGCCTTAGGGCACATTTGCTTCCCTGAGAGGGAGAAACAGAAAGAGGGAAAGTAAAAAGTCCCCTTCCTCCCCCGGGGATGGCCACTCTATTCTCCTAGGATCTTGGGCACTTATGCCTGGCATGATTTTGAAGCACTGGACCCGGGTCTCTGCAGCTGGCCATCTGGGAGTCCAGTGACGGAACTGTTACGCCATTTTGCTGGCTCCATGGGCATGTTTTCAAGCCACAGGGTCCAGGACATGAATTGCGCAATTGGCCACCTGGGATCCAGCAGCCTTAACCTCCACACCACTGGCTAGCCTCAGAATTTAACATGTTTTGATTGTATGTTCATCTTTTGCATTTTGTTTCTTTTATTGTTTTGGTGGTCAGTCTTTCTGTCATGATTAATAACTATTGAGTGCTCACTATATACCCAATTCAAGCTAATGTTTTCATATATTTATTAATCTTCATAGCCACCTTGACAAACATATTTTATCTCCCCCTTCCCCTCTTTATATTTGCTAGAGGGCATGTACACTCTGGAGAGAGAGAGAGAGAGAAAGAGGGAGGGAGGGAGGGAGAGGGAGGAAAAGTGAGAAAGTACCCTTCATCGGAAATGATCATGTTGTACTCCATTTCTCCTTTTGGGACTTGGGCATGCCTGTACTTGTGCCTGGCATGATTTCTTTTTTTAATTTTTTAAATTATTTTATTTAACTTGATTTATTTATTTAAATTTGACTAGAGAGGGACAGAATGAGAGAGAAAGCAAGCCAACAGCACTGGGACTTGAACTGCGGTTGGCCATGTGAGATCCAGCTGCCTTAATCATAATGCCATTAGCTGGCCCTTTGTTTCCTTTTTATAACAGCTGAAAAAATGAATACAGAATTAGTTTACTAAGTGGTATATAACTAGTATTAGGACCATGATTCAAACGTAAGTGTATCTATCCCCTTGGCCCATACTATATTTCCCATACTATGATATATTCCATAGTATTTATGGTGGGCTAAGACTGTACTAGGTACCAGCAAAGAATGGGGTTTTGTTAGTTCTTGTGATAAGTATAATCTGTTTCAATCATTGTGTTTTTAAAATGTATTTTAATATGTGATAGGGTCAATTTAGGGGGGATTTGATTCGTTTCAGAAAGTAGTTTCCTATTACTGTGCAGAATATCAGTCTGGAAGGTTCCTTAAGTCATTCTAGTACAAGCTGTTCTCATCCAGTACTTGTCTAGTTTCTATGTAGTTGTAACTGCTAATGCCTGGTTGTTGTTTTTAAAGTTTTGAATTGTATTGTTTTGACATAGTTGTTCAAAGTAACCAGTTGCTTCGATCCGGTAAAAAGCCATGATGCCAAAGGTGATGAATGACATGTAAGTCATCAGGAACTTGACTTCAGTGTTGGATATATTTGACAGTTTACCTGTTCTTTTTAGGGTGCAAAAATGCAGAGCAGTAAGACCTTTAATTTGGAGAAACAAAACCATACTCCAAGGAAGCATCATCAGCATCACCACCAGCAGCACCATCAGCAGCAGCAGCAACAGCCACCGCCACCACCCATACCTGCAAATGGGCAACAGGCCAGCAGCCAAAGTAAGTAGATGCTAGGTGATGAAGTAAAAATAGATTCCCTCTTGGGAATGATTTCTTGGATTTTAGATTAATCTCTTGGGATTATAACGGAATAGGCCTTTATGGCACTCCTTCATTTTTATCCCTATTTACCTCTTATGATGGAAAAAGACTCATTTCACTGAAACCAAGGAACAGACAGGGATGACAGCTAATGAGTACAGGTTGTTCTGCTGTTAGCACATTTCACTGCTGAACAGATGTCTGAATGTTTTACCTCAGTCCGGTTCTTTACAGGTACTCATCAGATGACTAGTGGTTAGAAGAGAATATGGAATAAGTCTTTAAAATTTAATGGAGAAGTTGGTACTGAGTATTATACTTTTAACCTGATGCCAATCCTTTTTTCTTTTTTTTTTTTTTTTTTTGTTTCTTACGGTTTTGTTTTAAGAATTATTTATTTAACTCTGTTTGTTATTAGTATTTTTTTTTTAATATGACCAGAGAAAGAGAGAGAAAGGGATAGCAAGAAAGCAAGCCATCAGGTCTAAGACTTGAAATGCAGTTGGCTGTGTGGGAATCCAGCGCCTTTAACCACCATGCCATCTGCCAGTCGGTCCCTCTTAGTTTTTGCTATAGGGCACATGAACTTGGGGGGTGTAATAAAATCTTCCTGTAGTAGAGGGGATAGCCACTCCATAATATCTTCTCTTATATCCATTCTCCTCCCAGGATTTGGGACATGTATGCATACACAACTGACATGTTTTGCAAGGCACTAGGTCTGGAACTAAACTCTGTTGTTCATGCAGGATCTACTCTCACCACCAGGCCACTGTCTGACCTGCCATCCCCTCCCCCCTCTTTAAATAATTATTTATTATTTATATTATTTGACCAGAGAGAGAGACAAAGTGAGAAAGCAAGCTGCTAGGTCTGGAACTTGACTCACTGTCAGACATGTGGGAGTCCAACGCCTTCACCACCATACTACCTGCTGACCTAGCACCAGTGCATTTTTAATCAGAATATTTAAATGTATATTTATGTTCATTTAGTAAATTTTGAGTGCTTGTTATGCGCCTCTAATAAATATTACAGCCAATTTACAACTCTGTTTCTAGAGGATTCTATCAAGAATACTCTTTCTGGGGCCAGCAGGCGGCATGGTAGTTAAGGTGCTGGACTCCCACATGGCCAACCATGGTTTGAGTCACAGACCTTATAGCTTGCTTTCTCTCTCTCTCATGAGTGTACATGCCCTGTAGCAAATTAAACAATAATACTAGTGGTAAATAAAATTAAAGAATACCTTTTTTTTACATGAATTCTCTTTTTTAACCCTTTTCCTTTCATTGTCCCAAGCCTGAATACCTGGGAACTGTTAAGGTTATGAAGATTAGTGAGAGATTAGGAAAATGGAGCAGTTTTTTGTTGTTATTTTTTTGTTTTTTGTTTGTTTTTTTGAGAGGTTCTTGCTACAGGGCATGTGTGCTTGCCAGAAAGAGAGACAGAAGGCGAGAAATCACCCCACCCCCTACCCCAGGAGAGATGGCCACACCGCAGTCCCTTCTCCTCCATTCTCCTCTTGGGATCTTGGGCACGCATGCACATGCTCCTGGCATACGTTTAAGCCACCAGGTCCGGGACTTGGACCGTGGTTGACTACATGGGAGCCCAGCGACATAGCCATTACGCCAACTGCTGGTCCCAATGGAGCAGTTTTTAAAAAAAATATCCAGGACTGAGAAACACAGATAGAAACAGAAATAAGCACTTCCAGCAGGGTCTTCACACCACAATCCATCCATAGTCTCACATGGCCTGGATCATAAGCACCTTTGTGCCGATAAACTCATACCAGACATGCTCAGGAAGATCCTGAGATATGAGCTTAGTACTTTTCCCATGCAGATCCGGTTTCACTACGACTTCCAGTACCTGGTCCCAGGAGCAATTACATTTTAAATTTTAAAATTTGACCTTGTATGAGCCAGCAGGTAGTGTGGTGGTTAAGGCACTGGATCCCACATGGCTGACTCTGTGGTTTGAGTCTCTGACTAGAAGCTTGAAAAACATGCCAGGTACATGTACATACATGTGTGTGCATGCCCAAAAATCCCAAGAGGAGAGTAGAGGAGAAGGGATTCCAGCGAGCACATGTACCTTATAACCAAAAAAAAAAAAAAATCTAAAAAAGCAAAAAAAAATAAATAAATAAAATAAAGTTGATGTCTTGTAACATAGGGCTCCTTGAATATCTTCGTGGGAAGTAATTGTACCTATTTATGGGGTATAATATATTTTGATGCATGTGGTGTAATGCTTCAATCCTTTTTTCTCCTTTCAGAATTTTGGGTGGGCTTGCACACATGCCCAGTATTTTTTTGTTTTTTTAAAGAATTATTTTATTTAACTTTATTGATTTTTTTTTAACTTTATTGATTTTATGTATTTATTTCTTTTAATTTGACGAGAGAAAGAAAGCTGCTAGGTCTGGGACTTTAACTATGATCTACTACATGGGAGTCCAGCATCCCTAACCACCCTGCCACCTGCTGGGCACCTCCCTTCCCCATGTTTTTCGAACCACCAAGTCTAGGACTCAAACTGCAAAGTTGGTCATGTGGAATCCACCTGCCTTAACCATCACATAGCCATCTGTTGGCTCTCAAAATCCTTTCTTCTAACTTTTTTTTAACTACATAATTTTTAATTTAGTTGCCCTACAGTGTTCTAAAATGGATTTTTCCTATCTAGTTGTAATTTTGTGTTTGTAAGCCAAGCTCTCCCAATCCCCCTTTCTCTTCCACCCTTCCCACCTTCTACTAACCACTGTTCTCTCTACTTCCATGAGACTGAACTTTTTTAGCTTCTGCGTAATGAAAAAAAATGTGTAGTATTTATTTTTCTGTGCCTTGCTTATTGAATTGCTTAATTTTATTTTTGGTCATCTCCTCCTGTATTGGTCTTTCTCTGGTTTATTCGGGCTTGGCTCCAGGCCCATGGTAGAGCTGTCAAAAAGCTTGCCTGGGGGACCAGCAGTTAGCGTAATGGCCATGTCGCTGGACTCCCACATAGTCGACTGCGGTTCGCGTCCCGGACCCAGTGGCTTAAAACTCACGCTGAGCGCGTGTGCATGCGTGCCCAAGATCCCAAGAGGACAATGGAGGAGAAGAGATTACGGCGTGGCCATCCCCCCTGGGGGGTGATTTCTCGCTTTCTGTCTCTCTGTCTGTCTGGCGAGCACATGCGCCCTTTAGCGAAAACCTCTCCAAGAAAAAAAAAAAAAAGCCTCCCATGATCTCAACATAACTACGGCGTGGCCATCCCCCCTGGGGGGTGATTTCTCGCTTTCTGTCTCTCTGTCTGTCTGGCGAGCACATGCGCCCTTTAGCGAAAACCTCCCCCCCCCAAAAAAAAAAAAAACCTCCCCTGATTTCCACATAACTGATTTCATGGTTTGTTTTGGTGGGGGGTTTTTTGGGGGGGGGGGATTTTCACTGTAGGGTGTGTGCGCTCACCAGACAGACAGAGAGAGACATAGAGACAGAAAGCGAGAAATCACCCCCCGGGGAGATGGCCACACCGCAATCCCTTCTCCTCCATTCTCCTCTCGGGATCTTGGGCATGCACACGCACGCACCTGGTGTGAGTTCTAAGCCACCGGGTCCGGGATGTGAATTGCGGTCGACTATGTGGGAGTCCAGCGACATAGCCATTATGCTAACTGCTGGTTCCCTTTTTGTTTTTTGTTTTGTTTTGTGTTTTTGCTGTTAGGAATGATTTTATTCAATTTTACTATTTTCTGGTTTTTAATACCTCAACCGTGGTTGGTCATGTGGGAATCCAGCGCCCCTAGCCACCATGTCACCTGCTGGCCCCTCATTTCATATTCTCTGGTGCGATTTACTGATAAGTGGTTAGTGGATAGTTTGCACTGGAAATAGTGTTTGCTTTCTCTACAACAGTTACAATTCCTAACCTAGCAACAGTTACAGCTCTTTGAGGATGTGACTGTAATTGTCTTTCCTCTATCTACTAAGTGATGGTGTGTCTTTTTTTTTTTTTTTTTTTTTTTTTTTTTCCAGATGAAGGTTTGACTATTGACCTGAAGAATTTTAGGAAACCAGGAGAGAAGACCTTCACACAGCGTAGCCGTCTCTTTGTGGGCAATCTTCCTCCTGATATCACTGAAGAGGAAATGAGGAAACTATTTGAGAAATATGGGAAGGCAGGTGAAGTCTTCATTCATAAGGACAAAGGCTTTGGTTTTATCCGCTTGGTAAGTAACTGAGCTCTGAGACATGTACTGTGAAAGGTAGCAAAGCTGGAGAGTGATGAATATGGAAATATAGGCCATGGAAATAATTCTTATAGTCTGTTAAAAGCCAATGAGTTTTAAATTTTAATTTAAATTTTTTTTCCTGTTTTTCATGAAATAAAGATTAAAGCAGATTTAATTTATTTTCCATTTAAGTTGTGTTAAGGACAAGACAGGCTTGTCTAGGATACCGGAGCTAAAGTGTGCCCTTTGGAACTTGTTTGTTTTAATTGGGAAATTTTAAATAAAAAAAGTAAACAGAATAGTACAGTGAGCCTGTTAATATTCATTGCTCAGCTTTGAAGTGTAGATCTTATTTATTTTTTGAAGGAGAGATTTTTGCTGTAGAGTACATGTGCTTGCTGGAGAGACAGACAGAAAGTGAGAAATCCCCTGGAAGGGGGAAGTGGTCATGACGCAGTCCCTTCTCTGTTTTCTAGGGATTTGGGGCATGCATGCACATGGCACTGGGCGTGAGTTTAAGTTGCCGAGTCTGGGACTTGAACCGCAGTAGACTACATAGGAATCCAGCAGTGTAACCGTATGCCATCTGCTGGTCCCGTGTAGATCTTATTTTTAAATGTGGTTTGATATAGGAAAAGAATATGAGGGGAAAACTTCTTTTTAAGAATTATATTTTATTGAACTTTATTGATTTATTTTAATTTGACCAGAGAGGCACAGAGCAAGAGAACGAGAGAGAGGGAAAGTGAGAAAGCAAGCTGCCATGTCTGGGTCCATCATATGGGAGTCCCGTGGCCTTAACCACCACACCACCTGCTGCCTCCAAGGGGAAAACATTTCTAAGCATTCTCTTTCTCTATAAGTGAGGAAAATGATGTGACAAAAAGGTCACTAGATGGGTTAGTCAGATTCTGGTGCTATATTACAAGAATACATTTTAGGGTGGTCTTTGTTGTCTGAGCAATCTGTTGCCACTGGGGAGAATGAAAATGATGATCACGTAAGTGGAATTAACTTCTAGAATTTCCAATTGCATCTGATTTATTGCGAGGTCATCAGAGCAATTAGGGTTACCCGAAGCATGCAGTTCAATTCCTAGTTCTATCCATGTTTCTTTCTTGGCTCAGTGCCAAGGTTTTTTCTTAGAGACATTTTGATACTGCACTCTGTGGCTTTAGACTGTCGGTGGCCCTTTGGGTGCTCTTTGTTAAATTCAGTTCCTTTATTTTTCTCTGCTTCCTAGGAAACGCGAACCCTAGCGGAGATTGCCAAAGTAGAATTGGATAATATGCCACTCCGTGGAAAGCAGCTGCGTGTGCGCTTTGCCTGCCATAGTGCATCCCTTACAGTCCGAAACCTTCCTCAGTACGTGTCCAACGAACTGTTGGAAGAAGCCTTTTCTGTGTTCGGCCAGGTGGAAAGGGCTGTAGTCATTGTGGATGATCGAGGAAGGCCCTCGGGAAAAGGCATTGTTGAGTTCTCAGGAAAGCCAGCTGCTCGAAAAGCTCTGGACAGATGCAGTGAAGGCTCCTTTCTGCTAACCACGTAAGTGAGAGATCATTTTCAGAAATAGGTTGCTAATTCCTTCTACAGAGTTAGTCTTTAGTAGCTGTATTCCTATGTTCATTTAAAGACTTGATAATGTAGCTTTCTAGTAGTGTTTTCAATGTAATGTTAAGTTAATGGAAGTGGTATGGGGATTAAATAAAGAACCTTTCAGGCTTTGATAAATTCATTCATTTAATCAGTGTTTAGTCTTCCCTTTGAAGTTTTAGAACTCCAAAAAGTTATTTTGTGTGTGCTGTATCTCTCAGTATTTATTTCAGATTGTTTCTGGAGTTCTGTAGATAATCAGATATTTGGGTTGTACTCAAGTATTGCACCTACTACTTTGAACATCTTTTTGAGGCTGTATTCAGAAATCTGAAACCCGACTTCATCCGGACTTAACCCTAAATTCTCCATGCCATTTGAAGGACTTGGTTACTTGGGGTTTGGTGTTAAAAAAACTCTTGGGTGCTTGCTTTGGCAGCACATATACTAAAATCGGAACAATACAGAGAAGATTAGCATGGCCTCTGCGCAAGGACGACCTGCTAGTTCATGAAGCATTACTTTTTTGTTTTGGAGAGATTTTTCTATAGGGTGTGTGTGTTCGCTGGAAAGACAGGAAGCGAGAAATCACCCCCCAGGGGGATGGTCACGCCACAATCCCTTCTCCTCCATTCTCCTCTCGGGATCTTGGGCACACACACACGTGCCCAGCGTGAGTGTACGCCTCTGGATCTGGGATTCAAGCCGCGGTCAACTGCATGGGAGTCCAGCAACATAGCCATTATGCCATCTGCTGGTCCCGTGTTACATATTTTTAAGAGATTGAATAAAAAAAAAATTTAAAAAAACCTTTTTTTTGAAGTATGTTTTATTGTCTAATCCTGACCCCTAACTATACTAGTTAATTGTACCAGAGGCAGCCTGCTCTAGGATATGATTTGATTAACACCAAACTTCCTCCTTTCTTCCAGATTTCCTCGGCCTGTGACTGTGGAGCCCATGGACCAGTTAGATGATGAAGAAGGACTTCCAGAGAAGCTGGTTATAAAGAACCAGCAATTTCACAAGTATGTGATCCTGATAGGGTCTCTGTTAGATCTTTGTCTCCCTCAGGAAGCTCCTAGAGGGCTATGTGAAGAGGCAGGGCTTTGCTCTGTGTGCTCATTGGCAGTCATTATCTTGGCCCTCAGAAAAAAATGTGACGCTTGGATTTGGGGGACAAAGTTAGTAAACTAGGAACTTTGTCTATAGGGAGCGAGAGCAGCCACCCAGATTTGCACAGCCCGGGTCCTTTGAGTATGAGTATGCCATGCGCTGGAAGGCACTCATTGAGATGGAGAAGCAGCAGCAGGACCAAGTGGACCGCAACATCAAGGAGGCTCGTGAGAAGCTGGAGATGGAGATGGAGGCTGCCCGCCATGAGCACCAGGGCCTGCTAATGAGGCAGGGGGAGGATATTCTATAAGGTTTTGAGCTAGAAGGAAAACTGATTTTTTTCCAGAAGTTTTTGCTTTGTATCATTCAGTAGAGAAAAACCTAAGTCTGCTTTTTATTCTCTGAAATATTTTGTTGATCTTGGTAGGCAAATGGGCTTGGAGATGTGGCAGAGAATACTGGATTCTGTCAAGAAGGAAATGATAGGTTTGACTTCACTTTTGGAATCTCGACACCTTGGATGGCCAGTCAGGGATAATATCCTCTTTACTTTGTGGATCTTTATTTACAGAAAATTATCGGGCCTAACATGAAGAGAATAAAGAATACTTGTAATAGGTCTGTTGTTTTTCTAGATTTGATGAGGCGCCAAGAAGAACTTCGGAGGATGGAAGAGCTGCACAACCAAGAGGTGCAAAAACGAAAGCAACTGGAGCTCAGGTAACTCCTTTTCTCAGACATGTTCTCTGACAACTCCAAAAGGTAACGTCTTACTCCTGCTGCCTACCACCATAATTTTAGCTGCCTGTGGTTGTAATAATATCTGAGGTCGCACTCAAGAAAAAGCAGCTGAGTGCTAGTGTTATGAGGTCTCTTTGGGCGGTTCTCTTAGGGCTGGGCACACTTGGTAGTGATTTTACTGGTGAACTACAGTAGTTTTCAGTAGGGTAATATCCTTGCCTGGGTCTGCTATTAAGACAGTTCTCAAATCCTGGAATGCCTCTGTCTTAAATACTTTGGTGTGACTGTAGACAGGAGGAGGAGCGCCGGCGCCGTGAGGAAGAGATGCGGCGGCAGCAGGAAGAA